GGGCCCAGGCTCTTTTTGGGAGGCCGGAAGCGGGTTGGAGGGACCAGAAGCCGCTCTAGGAAGAAGGCCTCATTGGGTTCGGGGTCCTAGGGCTCAGGGTTTGGCGAGGGTTTGTGGGGAATATCGAGCAGGTTTGGCAATTTGGGGTTTGGGGTTCAAGCGGAGGGGGGGGGGGGGGGGGCAAAGGGCCTCCTTTGAAGTCTTGCAGAGGGCTCGGTAGGTTGTTGTGAATCGGGGCTCCCTTTAGGGACAAATTGTCCAAACTTCCCGGAGCGATGGCTTGGAAGGCTTGACGATGTGAAGTTTGGGGGTTGGTGGATCAAGGTTGACTATTGAATGTGAACCCCCATGCACAGCCACACGGATCCATCAGGTGCTAATTTGCTCTTGGGGCCACTGTCTCCGAAGTATCGTGTCCATACCAAGGCTCTCTAAAAAGATTCGCTGTGCTTTTTGCAGGATCTGGGCCTATCTGAGGTTCCGACATCAGGCCCAATCTCCTTTGCTGCCGGAGCCAAAAACCTGTCAAGCAGAAGACCGGAAGAGCTTCATCACTGTGTAGACGCTGCAGATGTAGAGACAGCAAGCAGTTGACCTGACTCTGTGCGACCCAGTAAGCACCACTACCTCTGGCGCACAGATCTTGGAGACCTTGAACCAACGTATGAGTTGCCCGCTCAGGTACAGAAACAAGTGCTGACTCGCGAAGTGTTCGATTTTGCTGGATTCCACGCAAGACTTTCCAGACACCACTGCTTGGAACTGCGTGGGAAGGCCAGGTCTACTGCGGACTTGGACAGTTTTGACATACCATACCTCGCAATTCGTCTTGCGCCATCCGATGCCACATCTTCCACAGAGACACCTAAGACAATGCAACTCCTGTGATCATCTCCCGGTGCAATCTTTTCTTTCGTTGCTGATGGCATGGTATCCTCTAGGCTAGGCATGGACACTGTGGGAGATGCCCCAAAAGACCGATGCAGCGTGAGGGCTCGCATTTCACAGCATATGGTTGGTCAGTGGTGTGAAGAAACCACATCGCATCTCCCGCTCCAGCACTTTAGTCACTATTTACATGGTATTCTCATCTTCCTTTGCATGGCTACGATCTAAATTCATGTCCGACCTGCTAACCTGCTAGCGTTGAGGGCTTTCAGCCGTCGCTGGCAGGCTGAAGCCAGAATGCTCAATGTCGTGGGGTTGTTGACATCCACAACACATGCTATAACAACTGAGTTCAGAAGCGGCTTTGAGCAGTGCATGTTCGTTCCATCCCCACGGCTACTCATTCTATGCCTGCACGGCACGTAGCTGTGGGATCCACTCCCACTGGCCGGTGGCCGCACCGCATCTGATCTTGGATTGAAATCTGTGGGAGGAACTGGCTGGCCACTGCGGTGCCTCATTGGCCACGTGACAAGAAGCAACGAACTTTCTGACGCCCTTTGTTGCTGTTTCCTCGCACGGCCCAGACGCGTTCCTCCCCGTGCTGTCCAGGATTGCCTGAAGCGAGCTTTGCATGCAGTTCATGGAGGACTGGCTCCTCTGAATCAGAAACCAGACCATATTGCCAATGCTCGCTTCAGACATGTCAGGCAAGCATACCCATAGGGTATGCAGCCACAAGTGGCAGGCAAGCTGTCCCACGCCCGTCTTGGTCTACGCAGGCACGTCGCCCACGAATTTGGAAGATCTGCCTTGCTTGCCAGCCTTGGAGCTACAGACCTGAATTGAATTATTCCAGTCAAGCCGATTACTTTCAATCTAGACACATGACTCGCCGTAGTTTGGAACTTCAGCCCAGCACCCGCCGCAATGACTGGTAGGCGGCTGTTAATCCGAGCCCAGACCCGATACAAAGGCTAAAGACTCCGACAACGAAGTGGAATGACCACGGGTAGTGCTCGTAGTGGTCAGGGATATTGCGCTTGTGCGGAGGAGAGTAGACGTCGGACCCTTCCTCTTCCCTGGTTTTGCCGGTGAAGACCACAGTGCTCCTTTTGCCACTGTCAGGCTCGTCGATGTGCATGCACATCTCGGGTTCCTCCTCGTTCAATGTCATGGGCGGTATCTCTGGAATCGATGGGGTCGGTGAGAAGCGCGGAGACGGACATGGTGACATCGGAGGGGAGCTTAGGGGAGAAGACAAGAGCCTCTCTCGGATACCTGAGCCGGGGCCCTCGATCAGACATCGTTCCTTCCCCGCCCTGTGCCTGAGAATCAAGATCATGACCACCGGCATGATGAAGGTCCACAGCACCGAGCCGAATCCAGTAGCGATGCCCACAATGGCGGTCACGGACGGAAAGACCACGGCCAAGCTTGCAGCGGCCGACAGGATACCTCTGCAGTGCTCTCAGGAAGACCCCCCGAAAGAAGTAACACCAGTCCATTTCTCGAATCCTAGAGCGCGCTAGACTCGAGCAACCTTTCCTGTAGTGGTCCCTCCTGTGGTCGTGACGAATGGCATCAAACAGCAACGAGTAACAGAAACGAGTACTGTGCTCTACGGTGGTAAGAGTTGCAGCCGCTGCTGGTGATAGTGGTGGTGGCTGGGGTTGCAGCAGCAGTGGAGCCTGGCAGTCATATCCATGATGCTGCTGATGGTGCGGTGGTTTGGCGGTAGAAAAGAGCGGCGGCAGACTGGCTGCAACAGCAGGGAAAAGCATCATCACCACAGTGGACCTCAATCACAGACGAGGGGCATGCCGTGTGCACCACGCGCATGGTGCTGCTCACCGGCCCAGCTGTACTATGTGCTCGCGGCACCGGAACCGACTGGAGTGGCCTGGGCCGCCGCAGCAGCATGAGCACACCGTTCCTGACGGAATCACTTCAACAACAATGCACCAATCCCCGAAAGCACTCCTATGTAAGCCTAAGCTGCCTAGGGCCTAAGCTCCTCCCCAATCCAAAGAACACCACGACAGAGTTCTTGAGCTGAAAAGAGGTTCCTGCAGAAGCGGGCGAGGGCTTGGAAGAGCGCTCTCCAGGCCCGAAGGACCTCTGGGAACTGATCTCGGGCTGGCTGCACACCCAGGGGAAGGGCAACAAGCAGGGAGCAGCCCGTCAAGAGCTGTGCCAAGGATGCCGCTCGGTGATCCTTGGGGTAGGCCAGAAGGATGTTCTCCGGGGTTGCGGCTCCATGGGCGACAATTCCACAAGACGCCACCACCGCATACATCACGGAGAGTGCTGTGCAAGACCTCAGAAGAACCTTGTTGACTCGGCGACTGTCAGAGTTGTGAAGCTGCCTGTAGACGGGAATCGCCACATGCTGACAGTACAAGGCGCTCAGAACGATAGACCAAGTCTGGGGCAGAACATGCAGCGTGCTCGTTCCCCGACCGTGCATGATGACCTCCATATGCTCATCGTCCAGGACTGGGCCGCCAAGTGCTCCACTCACCACGAGGGTGGCCATAAATGCCAGGCTAAAGAAGGAGATCATCGTGACATGGCGGAGGACACTCAAGTCACGACATGCAGATGCTGGAAACGCAAGGCACACCACAATCACCGCCATCTGCGGCTTCGAGAAACCACCGAAAACGGAGGGAAGCACACGGGGCAGAAGGTCTGACAAGAACTTGATGAAGGATGCCTGTCCACACAGGGCTTCCCCAACCATCAGACAGGCAAGCGCACGACCGGCCGATGGGCCAAGCACGGCGGCGGCACTCTTGGCGTAACTGTCGCAGCCGGTTATGTGCGAGATGGTCATTATGAGCCGCAGGGACGTCGCCAAGCAATAAGTCCCGAAAAACAACGTCAGCAATCCCAAAGGGAGCCCGACGAGACTGAAAGCATAAGGCAGCAGAAGCACCCCAGATCCAATGGCCGCCGACATGAGCGTGAAGATGGAGCCCCTCAACGATCCACGTCTCATGGGTCCCAGGGTTCTTCGCACCCATGTGGGAGACTGCGACCGATCCTGTGCCGTCATGGCCGGATCCGGATGATGCACGCAATCTTTACAATAGGAAGTCTCTTGTTGCATCTGCGTGTCAAAAGGTCGCAAGGATTGGGCTAGCTCCTGTTTCTGATAAGCTGATAGAGGGATGCCCCAGAGGCAGGCCAAATGTTTTTGTATGGCTCTTGCTTTTGCATGCGGGCCGGGCTTTCCAAAAGGACGTAACATGCTGCGATTCCTGCAGACTAGTAACTAGTGAAACTAGTGCACGTGTCTGGAGGGCAGCTGGGCCTGCTCTGAATGCTGTCATCGCCCTATGAAGTAGTTATCGGCTTGAACCCTGCGCCCCGCAGTCAAGTGAAGTGCAGTCGGGCACAAAGACATGAGGTGTTCCTGACATCAGCACGTGACGACTGCTCAAATCTTCGGCATCGGCTTCAGGCCTCAACGCTCTGGCTTCGTTCTTCCAGAGGGCCCTGAAATGGAGTCGGTGGATGGCGGGGGCATGCTGACGCCGTCCTAAGGCTTCTGCTGCTTGCACAAGAGCAGGCACGGATGCTTGTCTCTGTGCTGAATCGGGACTTTCAAAACACAAGGGATCCTTGAATGTATCCCGAATCCCAACTAGCGACTAGCGTGATTCTACAAGCGGCCCCCCATCTAACAATTTATTATGGCATATTGCAGCACAGTATAGTATAGTATAGTATAGTATAGTATAGTAGAGTAGATGATACAGTTGTATCTGCCCCTTGTGTCTTCAGCGTCCCAAACATCCGAAACGGTGGCCGAAGAGTCCGAAGTGCCTCAGCAAGTCCCGCGCGTACTCGGGAATGGCTAACTGCTCCTGGCTCGGCGAATTCGAAGTATCATAAATTATCATAAATATACGACTATACTATACTATGATTTGTGCTATAATGTTCTACAACCTACTATAGTACATCGAAAGGCACGTTTTCTCGGATGTCGAAGAGGTTCTCATAGCAAAATACAGCAACGGATGGCAAAAGGATGCAAAAGGAATTCCAAGGCAGACCCAAGTTAGGAAAACTTCCTTGAACAGGGGATGATCACCATGCTGCTACCAGTACCATGCGCGTTCAGATCGGGGATTCTGAACCAGGGGTCTGCACTACCCCGACATGACACGTGCTTTTGCGCAACCCGTCCTTGCCGCCTTTCTGAGTGACGAACAAAGCTTCGAAACCTTCCCTGCGCCACTTGGCTTGCGCCTCGGCGTCAGTTCGGGAGGTTATAGAGCTTAAGGATGTTTAAGGCATCGTTATGTAACCGATTTCTGCGAATTAACCTCTGAGACGTGGCTTCGCAGGATGGGCGGGAGATTGAGGCTGTCAACTTTGGAGACTTTGGAGTCTTGCGAGTACAAGTAACATGCTGAACTTTCAAGAGGAGAAATCCTCACATCAACCAGAAAAGAGCCCCTTCAAAGCTATACGACAGCCATCTAGAATCCACACAGGTTTTCTTTAACCACCAGCTAAAACCACATGAGACAACATTCGAAAGAGCCCTTACAAGACCCTTGCAATCCTAATATAGTTGGCTAAATAAATCAGAATATGGCTACCTGTGGAGATATATTCTAGTATGCTTAAAGCTTGTAATCAAGAACTGTTGAGAACAATATAGGTAATTATTCAGGCTAATCTTAAATCCGCAGTATCTCGTTGTCTCATTGAGCCTGCCCAGTCGAGCCCTGAAAGTGCTGGCCGCCTGGCAGCGCGCACAGCTGGCGGGGAGGTTGGTGTTGAAGTCTCGAATCACCTCGGTGATTCACGCTGAAAGCGGATTACCGCTAGTTCACTCCAGGTTTGTTTTTTTGTTGAGGCCTCTTTTCTGCCTGCCCATCCAGTTAGAACGCCTAAAACGCTGAGGTTTAGAGAGTTTAGGGCGTCCAGGGTTTAGGGGGAAGGGTTTGCGGTTGACGGAAGTCTTCGCTTTGAGGGCTTAGGAGTCACAACGGACTGGAGCCGGCGATTCACAAGGGGCCTTTCCATCGCCATGTGTTTGGCATCACACCATCTCCATTTTATGTACTATCTGCTTACTATCTAGAACCCATTGTCGTTTTTGGGCTTGCGACGTGTGCGTGTCCTTTTGATCTGATCGTTTCTGTGAACTGGTGGGAAACCGATCAGCTGTCTAAGATTGTCTAAGTAAGTCTGAACATGGCCGGCTTTCTGTTTCCCGACGCCTTGTCAGGCGGTCAAATCATCGCAACAAATTCGTTTTGGAGTTGAGTCCTCAACTCGTTCCACGACTTCTCTTTTTTCCACAACGATGCCTCAAAGCAACGCTGCTGCAGGGGTGCTGTAGAGTCTGGTGGCCCCTGTATGTCATATAATAATGAGGATCCTACTACTTTGGGTCTAGATTCGGATCCGGAAGCCTGAAAGGGGTTGCAGAGGGCTTGAAGTTTGTTTAAGGGTTTTCCGCTTTCTCTAGCTACTGGCCATTGGCTTCAGAATGTGGATAAGAAGGCGTAGGGTTTAGGACAGTTCTCTGAAGTTTAAATTTGGGGTGCCATTTTTTGGATCCACCAAAAAAGGGATCCTGACTTAGCGTACCACCCATCAGGCAGTCTGACGGATTCATATCCGAAACCCGAAGGAAAAACATGACCACTTCTTCCGCCGCCTGCTTTTCAATTCATCGGGGGTCCGGCCTGCCGAATGGCCTCTAGCGAGCTGGACACCTCCCGAGACACAGGATCCCGGAGACACAGGATATGCCAATGACGTCGATGATGATCCTAGAATATGGAACATTCCCGTATAAGTTTTGAATGGTTATACCTCAGTTCTATACTCCTTTATAACCTTCGCATCTTCGGCCCGAAGACCCTGCTGTAAATATCAAGTTTGTTGATAACGACGGGGAAAACTGACAGGTAGTGTGGCAGGGATGACGACCGGTGATGATGAAGGTCACCAAGGCCGGAATAGCAATAGTAATCACAGCTGCAGGGACTAACTAGAATCAGATCCACGGACCATCATAATACAAAACAATACCTGGCAATACTCAAAACAGAAAAAACTGGACAGACACGGATAACAGTCGTACTAAGCATCATCATCATCACCAGCAGCAGCAGCACCGTCGTTACTATCACACTACCCCAGCACTCCTCACCACCATGAGCCTCATCATCACCAGAAACGTGATCCTTTCCATCATGGGCCGTCATCACCGTCATCGTCAACACCTGAGTCATCCTGCTAAGGACCACAGTGTCCATCATCAACACCATCGCGGAAGATTCACAAACGGGAGCTTGGATTGATCTTTGACGATATCCCCTCGAGTTCCCTCACACTACAAGTTGCAGCTGTCGCCTTGGCTATTGCCAAGATTTGAAAACAAGGCTATATCATGACTCTGACACCATCTGTCAGCTCCCCTCCCGCCCTAATGCTTTGATGCCTCAGACCAACATCCAAATCCAGCTAAACCCTATGCACCCTAAAATTTAAATAGTAAGCGCGAGAATGTCTCTCCGGAGCCTGGGGGCCGTGAGCACCCTTGCTCTGACCAACACGTGCAGCGGCTGCGGCAGCATCCTACAAGGTGCTGCGGTCTCTTGGCTTCGAGAAAGAGAGTCAGTCGCGTTGGACTTAAAACAAGTAAAGGTAATTGCTTAATTAATTACTTGTCATGAGGACTGAACTCTTAGAGTAATGAAACTAAGCGATCGTGACAGTAGTCATAACTACAATTATCAGGATCATCCAAGTCACAACCATCAGAGCAACAGCCATTCATGATCGGCGGCACGTAATGGAATCAGATTCTGAACCCTAAACGTGCATGTACATCCTGTCTACCCTATAATCAGCTAAACCCTAAAGCCCTGACCCGAACCCAAAACCCTAAAGTCCTAATCCCTGAAAACCGTCCTGCTCTGCTCTTTTGGCATCAAGGTCGGCTACCAGCTTTTCTGCTGCCTCCAGGGCTTCGGAGCTTAGGGCTTTGGGGCTTTTCGGTTTTGAGGGGTGAGAGGGATGAGGATTTTTCCGGTTTTCGGGTCTAAGGGTTGAAAGTTTGGGGCCTAGTGGTGTTAGGGGTGAGGGTTTGCACACTGGCCCGCCTGCTTCGTCTGCTTGAGGTCTTGAGCTTTCCTCACCTCCCTGGTCGTCGTGGTACCTGGCTGCCAGCAAGTCTACCCAGGCAACCCTGAACCCAAAACTAAGCCTTAGTAGACAAGGGGGATTGGCGCTGGGATGGACGAAGACATCCTGAAGCTTAAAATTCACACCACCCAGATGTCGCTTGCCTGGTACTTTCCAAAGAGCCCTGGGCACAAACCCGAAAACTTTTGATCCCACAGCCCAAAAAAACAACCAGCCCCACCGTCTCTGGTGATCTCCTCCACCCGGAAGACGATGTCCGCAGGATCTGGGCTGATCTCGGAGAGAAGCCCCGCCCTGAGAGTTTGAGGTTTGGGAGAACACGGTCCAGGGTTTAGGGCCGTTTAGCGGCACCACCTAAAAATGCTTCGGCCTAGGGTCAGGGCCGTAAGCTTGGTTGTAAGGCCTAGGCTTAAAGATGCAAGTTTGGTTATGCTCTTCAGGTTAGGGCCTCCAGGTTCAGGGCTTAGTGTGTTAATGTTCCGGTCCTCCGAGCTTTTGAGGGTGTCAGTGTTGAGGAGCTAGGCTGGAATCTCAGTAAGGTGACTCGACTTTTGTGGTTCCATGCTCTGTGTGCCTGGGGCGTTTCCTTTACAGGAACAATAAGCGTTTAGGGATTCAGGGTTGACAGTAAGGTTCCTGTACATCTACAAGGATCCTGAGCGAACTGAGGTTGCAAACTATTGCGGCTCCTCTACCCCAACTGATCTGAGCGCCGCGCTTGGAAGCTGCTTGGTACCTCGGCTCCGGGATCTCGCCGGGAGAGAGTTGTTCCAGCTGCCTCACCTGACGGATGGCTCCGGCTACCACGATCTTTGCGATTATGATAGAAATTGGTGGCTCGCGACGCAGCCTTCGGTTTTGCAGTATGTTTGCTTT